AATACATCTGTCTTACTGTACTCATATGACTTGTGTTGTTCCTACTAAGTCCCAAGTCAAGACTTCAGCAAGGCAGAAGAGAAGGAAACCTGAAAACTGGCATTCTTCTTGGAACACTAGTTAATTTTTAACTGGTGAAAAATAAGACTGTTTCTACAGCAAGAGTGCATTAGATACTGCCTTTCTAGTAGCAAAAGAGCTTCCAAGCCCCTAGGCACATTATTCTCTTTTAATTGTTATTTCCTCTCTACTGTTCTGTGTGCAAGAAATGACCAGACTACTATCACTCTAAATAAAATACTATATTTTGCTTTCTATAGGAGTTACCCAAGAATTTGTGAGGCACAGATTTGTTTGCCTATAACAAACACAAACATGGTTCAAAAACAAGCCATGTGAATCACAAAGCAAATACTTGTAAAGAGTTCCATGACATCACTTTAAAGTAACTTTTGCAGTAACTCAAAATTTTAATATTATTATTATACAAATTTTATTTCTATTCCTTTGCTGTTCTGTAAAGATGTTGCTCCAACAGTAACCACTGTGGTCCTGTTATTGCACATCCTTGACCTTCAAGCCCTTCTGCCCTTCTAGCATCTCAATATGTCAAAAAAAGTCTTGTAATAGTGGGGTTGTGTCAAAACCAAGTTGTTTCCATGCTTGCTTATATTCCTTACATAGCTTCCTAACAAATGAGCAAACATTTGGTTCTGAGTGCAAAAGCTGAGATTAGTTTTCCACTTCTTAAAAGGCCCTTAAAATTAGGAGAATGAGTTTACAGTTGCAAGTGAGCATCAGTGCCCTGGAGAGATTTTCCAAGAGGTTGGGCAAATCCAGCCTTTTCCAGGTTTTGAAGGACATGACCCCATGGACTGAAGCCTCCCTTCAGTTAAGCAAGCTGTGTAACAACAGAACCTTTACAACTCCCAAGAAGTTGTACAACACAGCATGAAGTCATATTGCAGAAAGTTATGTTGCAATTCACTGGCCAATATAAATACCATGTCATTGGAATGAGACATCAATTAAAAAGTAACCCTCAGTATTTCTCGAAAACAGAACTCCTGGTATCTGCTAATTAGACCCTGCAGTAGTTGTGATTACTTTTTTTATTCCTTCAGAGATTACATCTTTCCAGAACTCAATATCCCTCTGAAAGGACAGCTCATAGCTCTAAGAATTAATGAGCTCTAAGTGACCCAAGTAAGAGACAGTAATTGTGTCACTCTACAAAAATATATCAAATGCCATTTGGAAAATAACTCTTTACTGTCTACTTTCCATGTTACAACATGGTCCATTCTCACACATATTTTATTTTCCTATGTAGCTCTTCAGTATCACCACAAAGCCTAAATTCCCTTATTGTGTATAACAGAGCCAGCACTGGTAAAACCCACCGTCTCGCTTACATTTCTTGTGTTTCTTATGTATTGCCAAGGCTTAAGTGACAGCATCTCCTTTGAATGACATATGAAGTAGATCATGAGTGGCATCCTTGAGTGCTTTGGTACAAGTAATTGCAGTGTTTTGCCTAAAGTCATTTGGATAATTAAAAGGCTCTCATTTGAATCTAGACTTAGCTTTTGCTAGAAGAGTTCTAGTTCACTTGACCTTGCCAGCCTTTTCACTTTTTTCTCCTTTCAGCTGTTACTGAATTTCAGTAGTGAATGAATAGCAGTATACGTCTTTGGGGGAAATCAAGCATGCAGAGAATTGGACTAAGGCAATCCTTGTTTTAAAGATGTGCCAAGGAGGATGGTCCTGTATCTCTTTAAGATAAGCATCAAAGCTATGTCATTCTTATGAGTTTGTGCACCTTCCATTTTTACAATTTTCCATGTTTAACATGAATCAAATATTTATTTCCTGTGCTGCCCTCCCCCCCAAAACCAAAGCAAAGCAGAGCAAAGCAAAGCAAAGCAAACCAAACCCCAAACTGATAGCAAGCTTATATTATCTTGAAAATAGCCTGTTGTAAGTTAAAATCGTGCCGTGTCCTCCCTCTGATCTGTCTATACATGTGAGTATTTCACAGACTGATAATGGTATCATATGGTGTTAACATGCAGCAGGCAGCTTGTGGTTGTCTCCTCGCAGCTATTTTGTCATCTCTCCACAAGATGTCGGTGTGATCCATTCATACTGGCACCGTGATTCTCCCACCCAACTGTTGCAAGTTGCACAAGAGATCCCATGTCTTTACTTTAAAAATCCACAAGATACTGAGACCATAAATGTATGATCAGCGACAGAAAGCATGGACTGACAAGTGCAAGTCCAGGACAACTAATTGCTTCACTCCAATTTTACAAAGAATATATCTGCAATATTTCCCACGCCTAACAGTGGTTTCCCACCTGCTATGGAGCATGAGTCTCCTGCACAGAAAAATCAGGAAAAAAAACCCAAGGCATCGAGCTGGCAATTCAGGACATTGATCCTGCCTCTGATGGACCTGCTCTGAAGGTTTAAAATTACCTCATTAATTGATTGTTATTAATATGCATTGCTCAACTGAAGCGTGCTATAGGTGTTTGAAGAGTATAGCAGCATAAGCATCCAAAGTTCTTCAGTATTGCAGCACTATGTCTACATTTAAACTTTGACATCCTGAAAATACTTTCTAAATTGCTGGGAAATATGCATTTGAAGGGTATTTTCTTTATCCAGTTGACATGTTCTGCATGTTAGCAACAAAGAGATGAGGAAGATGGTATTAATTCCTGAGCCCGTAGGTGGCAAATGGAGAGAAGAGGGGACTGTGACCAAGGACAGAACAGAATGGGAGAGCAGAAAATAGGCTACATGGCTTAATTCCCAAAATCTTTCCAATTTCTTGTCCTATAGAGTAGAAAGGGAACTTCTGCAGAGCTTTGCATATGACATGAATTTAAAGGGTATTCCAAGCATCTTTTATGCTAATTAGACCAGATGGAGAGTGGCAAGTATGTTTAACGTAGACATTTTGGAACACTACAACAACTGTTTCTGGGAATAGATACAGCTGTCCCACAGTGAGCTGCACTGAGCTGGTGATTTCTGTATTCACTTAAAGTGTAAGCGTAGCATGTTTACCTTGGTCCAGAAAAGATGGGAATAATTAAAATGACAAAAAAAAAAAATATTCCTGCACAGTATGTTTATTAATGAGGTGCAAAACAAGTAAAATAAGTAAGGCTATCATCACATAATTCAGTAGGGACAGCAATCTCTAAAAGCATAATACCACAACCAACGAGGCATACTGCTTCACTTCAGGACTAATGTTTCCTCATCAGGTGAATCATTGGCTAGCAAAACAGAAAACAGCTGCTGAACAGATAATGGGCAATGCTCCAGGTTATTTTTATCACTATTTCAGCAAACTATATGTTCAGAATTGCATTTTTAAATTATTTCTGGAGGACAATCTGACAGGAGAAAAGCCAATGGTTAAATACAGAAGCATAACTCTTCTTTACCACAAGACTCAATTAAATGTTTTGACATTAATGCAAGTTATCTTGAACCTTTGATCTACCTTTGAAAATTTCCTTACCTTGCAATGCAGCCCTCATGAGTCTAAAATGAAATAGCAACCTTAGAACTTTAATTATAGATATGCCTGGTAATCCTGCTCTGCTATCAACTCAATACAGAGGTCCATTTCTGTTAGATATCAAAATTCAGCTGCCTCTTTCGATGTAAATCTACAATCCATTAGCAACCAAAGATCCCATATAAAGTGACTTGCCATTTTCATGGTAATGGAAGCTGTAAGGACAAGAGAGAGAGAGCTCTGAACAACAACAGCCAGTCAAGATAGAATAAAAGTATCTCATTTAATTATTTTTATCATTAGTGCAACTGAGGGAAACAGTTTTCACCATCAGTTGCCATAATGCATTCTGCTTTAGATTACCAAGCCCAGCTACAGGGATATACTAGCAAACATCCTAAAATTTGGCAATGCTTTTCTCTTTTCAATGCACTTTGCTCTTAGGTCTTGTTAACCAAACTATTAACATTTGTAGGCATTATATGGCCTGAGATCACAGAGCAGCAAGATTATACCATGCAGAGCCTCTGAGGTCATCAATCCTGTTCCCCAGACACATGCGGTAGATGGGATCACAGATTCAAGTTGTTCAGCCCCAGAAGGTGAAGCTTATTGGGCCAATGTGATAGCATTAAGGTTTCGGAGCTGTCATTACTACTCTACTGGGGGAAAACGGCTTGCCCTCTCCGGGAAGCTGTGAAACATGAGCTTCCACTGTAACTCTCCCTGCCCTCTTGCGTCTGACTCCCTGACACGCTGGAACGTGTCTGTGTTTGTAGGTCACTAAGAGTGCAGACTCAGCCCTTCAAGCACCCTGTCTTTGGGCAGGGAGGCTTATGGCTCCCTCCTCCCACCAATAACATGTTTAACCATGCCTGTATTTCACCCCTGCACAACTTCTGCAAGAACGTCTAATGCACTTGATAATTTTATAGTTTAACTAACCTGAAACCTGCTCCAATCCTCCTGTCGGGCTAATTAAATCCTTTAGCTCAGTAACTTTGTATTCAGCCAGAAGAAATGCAGAGTTTGTATCTGTTGTCAAGTATCCCTTAGAAAAACAGAATCATATTTCCATTTAAATTAAGGTATCTTTCACATTATTTCTCTACTCATTATTCATGATGACAAACTACGATATTGCAATAATTGGAGGGCATTAAAATTTCACTTTTACTACTTATGCATGAAAGCTGTGCATGTGCTGAAGGCACTCAAGACCCTAGAACTATAAATAGTGCTCTATTGTTAGTGGATAAAAGACGAAAGGAGTCTTCTGGCACTGGAGCACAGCACATGCACTATTAAATGCTAAGCTCTGCCTATGCTAAAAGTGAGAGGTGACATCAACTAATAAACTAGTCTGCGGGTAAAGCATTCGACTGGGGAGAGTTTGCTCTGACTCCGCAGCTTCCCCAAACTGACAAGAGCAGCGACACATCTTTCTCCCTCAGCAATGGCAGAAGCCATTATAAGACACTGGGTGGAAACTCCTGTGCGCTATCAAGAGCAGTTTGATGTCCAAGAGCTGGAAGCACACAAACTGGACCACTCTTTGTATGCTTTGCCAGGCCCTTCTACAGCTGCACTGACAAACAGAAGGTGCATTGCAGAAAGTACAGCTGAGGCTAGGAAAAGCGACCAGGAGGAGAAAAACACACACTTTCAGATCTTGCTGGATGTTGTGCAGTTCCGTCCTGAAGATATCATTATTCAGACTTTTGAAGGCTGGCTCCTGATCAAAGCTCAGCACGGACCCAGGATGGATGAACATGGTTTCATATCCAGAAGCTTTACCAGACAATACAAATTACCTAGTGGAGTGGAGAACAAAGACTTGACTGCACTTTTCTGCCACGATGGCATTTTGGTTGTTGAAATGAAGAACTCGGAGGGAAGGAATTAGAACCTCGTATGTAGTCAACTGGTGAGATAAATTTAGTCTCAATATAACAAAAGCAATGCTGTGTAGTAAGCATGCAGCTGTATTTATGTTACAGTAAGGGAAAAATCTTTGTATATGTTTTTCAGTACGCTGAGTGTATTGTTTGATGTGAAATGTTATACTACTTCCCTTCATCTACATATGTGTTGGAAAGATAGGTTTTTTGAACAGTAGAAAATTTATGCTAGTGATGGCAAGAGAAAAAAAAATCTATTTGATAACATATTTAAAATAAAGCGTATTTATGAGTTCAGTAGGAGGACAGGTATTACTAAGGAATAAGCATTTGTCATACATAGTCATAATTAAAGAAGCAATAGACAGGTTATGAGTCTCATGGAAATTTAGTTTACATATCAAAAAAACTGTTTTCTCATTTTTGAGATTAAGTTCTTCCATAGGCTCTGGAAAAGTACAGAAACTTTTGTACACAAGTATACAAAGAAAAGAAAAAACACTATTTTCACAGTTCAAGCCTGTATACAATAAGTCCTTGAGAGATTACCTTTTAGAAGCATGTTGCATGTTTGGAACTATAAGAAAAAATGATAATCACTGACTATATCTGCTTGAAAACATCATAAGTAGAAATTATGTTTTCTGTCAAAGACAAATTAACTTGAAAGAAAACACTGAAAAACATTCAGAATTTTGGTTTTGTTTAATATATTCTGCTGTGTATTAGCAACTGAAGAAAAAATGTAGTTTACATATACTCAAAAGGATCAGATTCTTCCTTGTGAAGACCTGATAATAAGAAGGCATTACCCTAGTACTGATGCCTTTATTCTTATGCATTTTAGGTAGGTAATCTTGTTGTTTAATCAGAGTAATATTTCATCCTTCATGTTGCTTGACAGTTTAGGCTGAGATCCCACAATTGCATCTTCAAGGGAAAATTTTTCAACCTATGTATTTTCTGCCACTTCCCCTGTCTGAACATAAGCTCTACATGAATCTAATTTTAAGTGCAGGGGTTCCTTACTCAGGTTTAATTCCTGTCTTAGTGTCTCTCATTCTGTGGGAGTGTTAGAGATGTAAAAAATCCATCCACTATGTCTAGTATCTGTTCTTCTCAACATTAAAAAAAAAAAAGTGCTGTAAGAGAGTTTGTAAATACTCAAACATTTGAGAAAATCTGCAGCTGCAAGTCAAACTGCCTCCTTTAATGTGTACTAGAGAGGAGTATGACTGCTGTGCTATGAATAGTAAAGGAATGTGGAATGGAAAGTGCCAAGTTAAATACAGACTCTTTATGATTGCAATCTGCTTTTTGGACAAATCAAAAACGTATTCAGATGACAATGAACACTAATTTTAAGAATTTGAAAAAAAAAATCTGAAAAACAAACCCCAGACTCTCACTACATGAAGCCAGAGTGTTCCTTTCATTTGAAATGAAAACTCTAAGCTTGTACATCTGCACATGACCATGCATTAGAAAGATTTATGTCATGGTTGTTTAGACTTGAAGTTATTTGAAGCAATTGATTTTAGAAAAGTGGGTGGTCCAATTCTTGCATTTTATTTATTACTTTTGCTAAACAAGGAATTTGTACAAGAAATGTTGAATAAGGTCTGGATTGTAAATTTCAATCACGTGCAATTATTTTATTTTTTGATTAGAGCAGAAGTCAAGAACCTTATGTTTCCTAACAAACCAAACCCAATATTAAGCATATGTCCCTGTATTTCAATTTAACTTACATTTTTCCCTTGTATTGCTTGTGTTCAATTTGTGCGTTGGTTTAAGATAATAAACAATTATGCTAGAAGACCAGACCTAGATTTTCAATACTTTTAGGTCAAGAAGCTTTGTCAGCCAGGAATCTAATGGAAGATGTAACATGACTTTTAAAAAATGAATTCTAGGTATAGACCTTGATTTAAATTTTATATGCCAACTTCAGAAAAGCTCACAAGTTTAGATGCATGGTTTCCACTTCACCTCATGCCACAACTGTTGGTGTAGAGTTTATAATCACCATTTGGTAATCTGCTTTGGTGATTGTTGTTTGCAGAGGATTTTGTAAATCTGATCACTTAAAATCACAGGTTATTATAAAAATTATTCTAGCTGTGATTGCAGTGATGGTATCCATGGCCCTAGAGATGAAAAAGCAGTTCCAAAAAAAACATAACTGACTTAATTATGTGAAATTAGATCATGACTGAACTACTGGAAACTTGGCAGGGAACTGGATAGACAGTCAAAATCATATCATCTATTCTATATGTGTAAATACCATAGTTACACACAGCCCTGCATATGTACACAGACCTGCCTCACAAAACTGGATGGAGAATTTGGCATTTGGCTTGTCCATATCATACGTCTCTTCACATTACTCCATGCCCAGGTCTGTACTTACAGCGTTGTCAATCCGAAACCACTAGAACATACTGACCCAAACACGGCAGGGACATACCCAGGCAGATTTTGCCTTCTCTAGTACCCAAAGCTTTACAAAAGCCTATGTCCACGCTCCCTGGTGAATGGGAACTTGCTCTGGCTCAGCACCCAAGCGTTCACATAACAGGGACCACGCTGGAGTACGGACCTGCCCACCGCTGAAGTACGCCCCTGCCACTGGCTTCCTGCGTCTTATCACCAAGAACAACACAGAAGAAAGCGCTTCTCTCCTTTTCTTAGTGACAGTTAATCATCAAGTTCTTGCACCAATGACTTTTATGTTTACCAGAACAGCAATAAAGTACTTGGCAGAGCATTTCCAAATTGTCTGGAAATAGCTGTTTTCATCTGTTTTATGTGATGTTTTATTTTTCTATGTGAATGTCACAGAGAAAGCTGCTAATATTGCTCGGACAGGAGAATGTGAACTTTATCAACAGCAAAGGATTTCAGAACAGCTACAGCTTAAGATAGTCTAAGACATGCTGATGTGGTTAAATTAAGAACCCTCATACTGGCTGCCCACAGAATCCTGGCCCAGAATAAGTGATAAATGCTGCTGCAAGACTTGCAGAGCAAGTGTTATGGAGCCTTCTCAGTTCCCACTAGTGAAGGACGACCTTTGTAATTGATCAGACTGCTTCTCCAAATGGATAAAGACAATTTAATGCATGAATCCAAGCATTGTGAAAAATGCCTCATAGAGGAAGAAAATGTCTCAGTATCGTAACACCAGTCTCCAAAAGCACAGTAAGAAACATGTTTCCATGGGATCCCTGTGGGCAGAAAGCCCACAAATGCTTTGGACTTGTTGCCTTTTTATAGTTTCTGCTGCATCCAGGGCATTTGAGCTCTTTCTACACAGTCTGATACTTGTGGTGCAGTGAACCAGGCTGACACACATCAGTCACTCAGTAACTGCTCAGCTACGGCCTTGGGAACCAAAAAGAATAGAAATCCCTGAGGTGTTGAAGTAACAACATTCCCTCTAAGAGGGGTACGTCTTGTGTTCCTTACTTAGTTCATAGCCAGAAACCAAAACATGCTTTTTCATCTGAGTAATGCTACAAGATTTGGCTTGTAATGGGAGTATGAACATTTCAAAAAATATTTGGTGCAGCTTCTCTTATTTGAAAAAGACACTGACATCTGTCTTTCTGACTACCAGACACAATGCCTGGGGCTGGCCCCTGTCATCCAGAGGACAGCATCTCAATGGTCCTACACTGTGAACACAGAGGGTAGCTTAGACCTGTACATTGCATTGGAAATACCTGTGCTGGCCCCACTCGTGCTAACTCTGGAGCCAAAAGTACTGTCCTTGTCTATCAACTCAGGTCCAGAAAGCCTGGACTGTCTGTTGTGCTCAGGTTAAAAAATCATTCCTTATTAAAAATGTTTCCACAGAGAAAGAGACAGGAGAAACATGGCACTACAGCTCAGAACTCCTTATCCGGGTTAGTGCCAGCATGAGGATCTTGGCTCTATGCACCATGGTGGGCTAAACAACACAAATCCTCACATCAATCTCCTTATAAACTACCACTCTAGCCACATGGTAATACCACTGATGCCAGAATTTTCAGGAGGAAGTATGCCTAGTGACTGCTTGCAAAAATAGAGCTGATGCAAGTAGAGAATCACTTACAATTCCTCTTACGCTCCTTGGTGAGTTTACTGTGCTTTGGGCTGACCCTGCCCCCAGCAAGTACCCTCTTCTCTGGAGGAATTATGCTGCTCCAGAGCCCTGTGAGCTAATACAGAAGCAGGTAGGTCTGTGCACAGGTTGGGCCTCAGCAAGTACCCAGCAAGTGAGACCACCAGCACTGTCTCAGGCAAAGATGAGGAGCGAGAAAAACACTCCAATTGATTCAGCATATATATATATGTATATAGTCATTGTTCTACTCCAACTGGCAACTAAGCATCACACAGGTGCTTGCCCACTCCCCCATGGTGGGATGAGGGAAAGAATCTGAAGAGTAAAAGTGAGAAAACTGGTGGATTGAGATACGGACAGTTTAACAGGTAAAGCAAAAGGCACATGTGTAAGCAAAGCAAACCAAGGCATTCATTCACCACTTCCCATGGGCAGGCAGGCGTGCAGCCATCCCCAGGACAGCAGGGATCCATCACATCTAACAGTTCCTTAGGGACAAACGGTTGTACATTCCTGTCATGGAAGCAGAGATACCATGGCAGAATCACCAGAAGTTTCTCCTGCTCTTAGCAGAGTTCAATGACATAGGAGTTAAGCTCTGTTTGAAGTAGCCACTTCAAAATTTCTACAGTTGAGTACTTACCACCTCAGGCTGGTTTACCGACGCAGTGTAAACTCATTAAAAAGTGCAGTCATCCCTCTTGTTGGCTCTGCACAGAGCTGGTTTGATCCAGCAAGGCTTCCTCACTCAGGTGCCACTGTGCAGGCTCCAGGGCCAACTTGCATCTTGCTCTCTCCCACCACAACACTAATGTTGTGCAGAGCTCAGCTGGCTGCTCCTGCAGCTGCTCCAGCTATACAAACAGGACCATATGAGCGGTTTCCCTG